AAAAAAAAAAAAAGAGGCTCATGGACTTTTCTGCTTTGGCTGGCTTTGAACCATGATCCCCAGATTTCAGTTTCCTGAGTAGGATTACAGGCATGAGCCACCAGTGCCTAGTTTATTAGCTACTTTTTATTCAAATTACAAAAACAGAGCTGGAGACATGATGTAAGTGGTAGAGTACTGACCTAGCAGATGAGAGGCTCTGAGTTCAAACCCTAGTAAAACACTCTAAGAAACCCCAAATTTGGGTTAGTAAGGAGGGTGTATTTATTTATTTTCTTTGGTCATGGGGCTTGAACTCTGGGCCTGGGTGCAGACACTGAGCTCTTCAGCTCAAGGCTAGAGCTCTACCACTTGAGCCACAGTGCCACTTCCGGTTTTCTAGTGGTTTATTGGAGATAAGAGTCTCACGGATTTTCCTGCCCAGGCTGGCTTTGAACCACAATCCTCAGATCTCAGCCTCCTGAGTAGCTAGGATTACAGGTGTGAGCCACTAGCAACAGGCTTTCCTTTTTGAGATTAGGGTCTTGCTATGTAACTGAGCTGGTCTTGAATTTGAGGACTTATTGCCTCAATCTTTTTTTTTTTGGTCGGTTCTGGGGCTTGAACTCTGGACCTGGGCACTGTCCCTGAGCTCATCAGTTCAAGGCTAGCACTCTACCAGTTGAGCTACAGTGCCACTTCCAGTTTTTTAGTGCTTTATTGGAGATAAGAGTCTCACAGACTTTCCTGCCCTGGCTGGCTTTGAACTGAGATCCTTAGATCTCAGCCTCCTGAGTAGCTAGGATTACAGGCGTGAGCCACCGGCACCTGGCTTGCATCAACTTTTTGAGTTCTCAGATTATAGGCATGCACCTTCATGTGTGGTTTAAATTAATTTATTTTCTTTTTTGGGATGCCAGAACTCAAGATTTCCCTCTTGAACCTCTTTTTTTTCCCCCCTAGTCATGGGGCTTGAACTCAGGGCCTGGGAACTGTCCCTGAGCATCTTTTTACTCAAGGCTAGTGCTCTACTACTGGAACCAGAGTACTATTTCAAGCTTTTTCTGTTTATGTGGTACCGAGGAATCGAATCCAGGGCTTCATGCATGAGAGACAAGCACTCTACCACTGAGCCACATTCCCAGCCCTGAACCTCTTTTGTGTGTGTGTGTGTGTGTGTGTGGCTTTTTTACTCATGGTTAGCACTCTACTTTGAGCTTTGCCTCCACTTATAGTTTTTTGCTAGATAATTGGAGATGGATTCTTTGGATTATTCTGCCCAGGCTGGATCTGAACCACGATTCTCAGGTCTTTATCTCCTGAGTAGCATGAGCCACCAGTACCCAGCTTTAAATTACCTTCTAAAAAGTGGTTCAAAGCTGGGCACCAGTGGCTCATGCCTGTAATCCTAGCTACTGAGAGGCTGAAATCTGAGGATTATGGTTCAAAGCCAGGCCGGGCAGGAAAGTCCATGAGATTCTTATCTCCATTAAACCACCAGAAAACCGGAAGTGGCACTGTAGCTCAAGTGGTAGAACAATTGCCTTGAGCTCAAGAGTTGAGGGACAGCACCCAGGCCCAGAGTTCAAGTCCCATGACTTAAAAAAAAGAAGAAGAAGAAATGGTGTGGTTCAGTTTATTTTTTTCCAATTAATTCCAGTGGTATATTAGGGACTTTGAAGATGGCAATGTTGCCTGGCTGTGTCTGGCAGGACCTTTCTCAGGCGGCCTGTCAGTTTGCAGCTCTCTGCTCTACTTTTTTCCCTTTTCCTCTTTTGTTTTCTCTCTTTTTCTAGTGTGTGTGATGGTACTGGGGCTGGAATTCAGGGCTTTGATGCTGTCCCTTAGCTCTTTTGCTCAAGGATGGGGCTCTACCATTTGGGTCATACCTCTACTTCTGGCTTTTTTTTTCCTGGTTAATTGAGGATAAGAGTCTAATGGACTTTACTGCCTAGGCTGGCTTGGAACCTCAGTCCTCAAATGTCAAGCTCTTGAGTAGCTAGGATTACAGGTCTGAGCCATCTGTGTTGGGAGGGAGTATTATTATTATTATTACTCCTCTCTCTTGACTATTTTCTCTTTCCATTAGCTTTTGCAGAAGGTCAGTACCAAGAGACCTCCTCCTGCCATGGATGACCTAGATGTAAGTAATGCTTTTGCCTCAACCCTTCAGTTTCTTTTATTTTTGTTGTGCAAGTATTGGGGACTTGACCTCAGGACCTTACACTCTTGGTTGGCTTTTTCACTCACATCTCCACCTAATCCTTTTTCTAGCTAATTGGAGAAAAGAGTATCTAGGATTTATCTGCCTACACTGGCTTTGAACTGCAGTTCTCAGATCTCAGCCTTTTGAGTAACTACAACTACAAGTGTGAGCCACTTGCTCACACTTGCCCCTCAGTCTCTTTTTTCTTTTTTGTCAGTCATGGGGCTTGAACTCAGGGCCTGTCACTGTCCCTGAGCTCTTTCTCTCAAGGCTAACACTCTACCTAGTTAATTAAAGAGCCTCATGGACTTTCCTGCCTGGGCTGGCATTGAACTTCGATTCTTAGATCTCAGCCTCATATGTAGGTAGGATTATAGGCATGAGCCACATGCACCCAAATTCAGTTTCTTTTTAGTCTTTAAAAATAACACATTATGGGGCTGGGAAGTTGGCTCAGTGGTAGAGCGCTTGCCTTGCATGCCTGAGGCCCTGGGTTTGATTCCTCAGCACCACATAAGCAAAAAGAAAAAAAGCCG